GGTCACTAACTTAACATATGGGAAACAATTTTATTTTTTCCACTCCTGCTAACACATGTTGACATCACACCTGAAAAGTAATGCTCTCACAGCTGTGCTCACAGATCAGGCCTTTAAATAAAATAAAAAGATCCTTTTGAATAGAAAAGTCCTATGAAATTAATCTCCATAAAATGAGATGCTCACTTTATGTTTTATATAATGTTACAAGTAATAATTTCAAAGTGGTATAAAAGTGCATATTTATGGCTGAGCCAGAATTCAGTTCTGAGATAAAAATTCATTTATACAAAAAATAAAAATGCCTAAATTTAAATTTTTCAAAAATCTCTGAAGCTTTAATGTAAAACTAACTAGAAGTATACATCTGAAAATGTTTTATTTAGATCTGCTGAATCTTTAAAACTTTAAAATATCAAGGAAGATTTCCAAATAGGAAATAAAAATACTACAGTTCATAGTCTGTTAGGTTTTGGAAATGTATTTATGTTTATGTTTATGCCTAATGTTAAGTAAGTTGATATTCACAAGATCAATTTGTGTATAAATAGAATTACAAAAATAAATATAAGAAAAGCTTTGTACCATTTGGGAGAAAGGAATTAAATTGGGTCTACATATTAAAAATAGATGAAACATGAGCACTATAAATACTATAACTTTCAACTTGCAGGTAAATTTTTCTGGAAATCTATTTTTGGATAAAATAATTTAATTCGTATCATTTCATTTATGCTACTGGATAAATATCTCATGGATAAAATTTCCAAAAATAGTTTATGAGCCTCAAGTAAAAACAAAGGTATACCGAACAAATACACTAAACAGCATTCATCAGCCCATTCTGGGCAGGTATTTAACTTACTCAGTACAAGTTCTCAGGCAGACCTTCTGTTATCAAGACATGTCAGTCTCCCCTAGAACACTTGAAAAGTATAATCTACCTGAAATCACTAATAATCTTGAACATCAATATAAAAAGACTTCAATAATTAGGTGAAGTCAACAATAGTAATAAATAAATAAATAAATAAATAAATAAATAAAGCCTTTGGAAATACAGTGCCCCTAACAAGTTCTGGTTTCATATATGTCAAAATAAATACTCTTGGGGCTGGGGTGGTGGCTCAGCAGCAGAGCGCTTGCCTAGCACAGGAGGCGCTGGGTTCAATCCTCAGCCTCACATAAAAATAAATAAATAAAATAAAGGTATTGTGTCCAACTTAAAAAAAAAATCTCCATGATATAGACCTGAAATATTCATGGGGTAAGACAAAACAAGAGAGAGTGGTAATGATCATAATATTAAAATTTCTATTGTTCAACAAAGGTCAAGATTGGAAATATGCCTTGAAGTTTAAAGACAAAAATAACAAGAATCTTCTGGACCCTCACTGTGAAAACCACCTTGGATTAGAATTAAAATAACACCCTTGGGTAACTGAATCTTTCGTAGTAAAATGGTTTTCATACTGCAATCAGTTGTCCTATCCGAAGTGACAATATATTCACTCTGACTATATGTTTAACACCTTTTAGTATACCTACCAGTATGCTCAATATTCCAGTTTAAAAAAAAAAAAAAAACAGTCTTCCTGTTGTTTCTCCAAACACATCATGCTTTCTCCACCATCTCTGCGGCTCCAGCTGTGGTACGCTTTCTGCATGAAATCCTTCCCAGGGGCTCTATACAGGCACCAATGCTATTGCTAAATATAATTTTTTTTCTGGACACATATATATCTGCTGTCTTCAGAAATCCCCTAATACTTATTTTCTCTCCCATCTTTCCAGTCCACACTATCCTGAGATGACTTTAAGCCTTTTCTCCTGATTATAATAATACTCACATAATATATAGTTTTTTGTACCACATATTATACTAAACACATTTAACCTTTAAAGCAAACCCATAAATCAGTCTCCAAAAATGTCCATTTTATAGATGAGTAAAGAAACTTAAACAACATGAAAGGGCACAAAGCTCTTAAGCAGTAGAACCTGCACTCCCATCTACAGAGATCTTATTCTTTTCCACTGTGAAATATGACCTCATGAAAAATACCTGTTATCTTCAACTAGGCTGCAAACTGAGGTCAAAGACAGTATCTTTTACTTCTTTCTGCTTTCCAGTACCTCTTACTACTATTTAGCCCTGTCTTGTACAAGTGTTAAGATCTTCAAGGAGGGAGGCATAGAGAATGCAATGTATCCAGAATATTTCCTTAGGGGTGGGTGCCTATAGATGTTCCATTATTTTTCTATTTGTGTTTTGCACTCTTAAAGGTCCAGCCGCCTGTTACCTAAAGGCAGAAGCCTCTTACAAATGGACTTCTTCAGAGGAAAAATTTTTATTTGTAAACTGATTTAATGGTCAATATAACACTGCTGCTTTACAATACTAGTTCTTCTTCCAATTCATATTTTATTAATTTTACTAGTCTCTTCAAATACTTTATGAACAAAACAATAATTTATTTGCTAGTTCTTCAGTAACTTTAATTTGTTATCACCAAGTGGATGAATGAAACAGATAAAGGTACATTTCTTACCATAGTAAGTGCAGTTTTTTAAAAACGGAGACATACACTCATATAACTCTGTGCAGAAATACTGCAACAAATAATAAAGCAAATAGAAAGAGGGACTGCCTCCTACCCACACTCACAACTATAAAGTCACACAAAGAAACAGCAAAAACAGCAATAGGGAGAGGGAAAGGCATTTAAAAGTAAATTAGGACGAAACTAACTTAAGCTCATATAGAAGTCTTCATTACCATGGTAGTCTTTCACTAGCTTCATGATATTTCCGGGAAAGGAACACTACCAAAAAAAAAAAAAAAACAAAAAAACTCCTTTCTGCAAGTTCACAGTTAAGTAATGTAACTATTCAAAGACCTACAGTGTTGACCACAATTTTGCAGGAGGATATCAGTAACACTGATAATTCAACCAAGCTTCTGCCACATGGCCGGAGAGTCAGCTAAGCCATTAAAGAGGCTGCATTCCTAGCACAGGGAATTAAGTGGGGAGGGTTCCATCATTCCTAATATTATGCATGTTCCCAACACTGGTTCAGCATCAGCTCTTCATCAAATCTGCACTCTATCACTTAAGAAGGCAATTCTCTTCATCTCAACTCCTTTACCTTTCCATAAAATGCAAAAGTGCATATTGCACTACTGGTTAATAATTTAAATTGAAAGAAAAAAGTCAATAATTTGCTCCACAGTACAGTTTTTTACTGGCAACTTCAATATATCCATCCAATTTTAATCTCTCTATACACATTCCTTAAATGCAAAACTCAGCTATAGAATCTATAGATTCTTCTACAGGTTTGGGGAGGTTGTTTCTTTAGAAAAATATAAACAGTACAAACCACTGTCCTTTAAATAGCCATTTTTAATTTATACTTACACTATTCAGCCCTAGTGAGACAACTAATATACTAAACAGGCATGGCTGCCCCGCCATGTATAAATAAACTTTTTGGCAGCACTGCCTGCAAAAGGAGAACTGCCACATTACCATTAAGATATGTATCATATAAGCGGTTGGAATATAAGCTAAAGAAAGCAAAGTAAAGTCTAGCATTTTGTGGCAATAAGTGATAGAAAATCAAATTTTAAAAAAGAACATCAATAGTTTCCTCCACAGTATTGTTTTTTTTTTTTTTTTTTTGCTAGCAACTTCAATGAATTCAATTCTGGTCCCTCTATATACACTGAAAATTTAAATTGTTAACAATGGTCCCTGAAGCTAATTCAACTTTTCCGTGAGTGTAAATCACAAACAAAATCACACAGTATATTTTTCTTCCAAAATCTTTGGTATCCCTCTAAGGTGGATGAGAAGGAATAAAGGTATCTTTAGAGGCTATAATGCAGCTAATGCTATCAAAAGCGTATATTTACAAGCCTGTGACTATAGCCCCATTTCTCCAAAAACTGTCTAACCATTATCGACCTTTAGAAGTTAACCTATGATGAACAAAAGTACATCTCTAGCTCTGCTTCCTATTTTCCCAAATAAATCCACCTTGGTGTTTTGTAATGTAGAGAAAACACTCCATAAATAATACTGTGGTGCACAAGCATCAAAGTTTAGAGAGTTTCTGCCTCTAAAGTAGGTGGTGACAGGACCAAGGACACAAGGGTTCAATTCCAAGCCAAATATTAGGCGGGTGGTTTGAAAATGTCACTCCTAAGAGGCCTGGGGAAAGGATACAAGCTTCCCCTGCCACCACCCTTTATCTCCCCTCCCCTCTTTCTCTCTTGTTCCCTTCCTCTCTTCTCTTTCGTTGTGGTTTCTCATGGAGACGACAATCAAAGCAGAGAGAGCTGGATTTTAAATTAGTGTGTGACACACTGAGAATATGTAATTCCCAAGAGAAAAAGAAGAAACTGCTGAAAAGGGGTGTGGGGGGCTGTTGGCAACATGTCCAAGTGACAACCCTCCCCACCCCCACCGCAATAGAGCAAAAATCCACATATTCTTTTTTGATCCTCTTTTTCCAGTTTCCAGTACTCTAAACAACTTGACCCTTAATCCTAATAATTTAGAGACCTGCAGGGCATCTGCTGTGCAAGAGTATGCCTCTCAGTGTGTATGTGCCCAATTTTCTGGAAGCCCCTGAATCCGGACAGTTGTATCAAGCAGGGATGCTCCGACCCTCCCACTGGGTAAGGGGTGAAAAAAGGGGGTAAAGAGATGGAGACAAGAGGAGAGGGATGCAGAGCTGAGCCTGAGGACGAGTGGGTGAAAGGAAGACGGGGAAGAAAGAAAGGGTGGAAAGGAAGTAGGGCTGGGAGAGAGGAAGAAAGGGATGAAAGAAAGGCTGGAAGAGAGAAAGGAGGGGAGAGGAGAGAGGGATGTTGGGAAGGACGAGGGAGGGAGGGTTGGGAGCAGGGAGGGAGGGGAGGATGGAGAGGATGGGAGGGAGGCAGGAAGGGAGGGAGGCAGGCAAGGATGGAGGATGCTCTGCCCGGGACTCACCTCTGTGGGTCGGTGGGAGTTTCTCACCTCCTCTTTCTCGCCCGTTTCCAGCAGCTGGAGTGGTAATCACAGAAGGGACTAGAGAG